TTTTTTTTTTTTTGGCAGTTTTTGGCTGGGGCTGGGTTTGAACCCACCACCTCGGGTATATGGGGCCAACGCCCTACTCCTTGAGCCACAGGCACAATGAGTATTATTCTTCTCTACTAAGTAAATAATACAGTACAGGTGATTCCTGGATATAGAAAAAAAATCATCACAGGTGACAGTAAAAATCCATATTTGAGAAACTAATGCTCTGGAGCACCCAGCACTGACCTGGCACGTAGTAGGTGCTCTGTAACTAGATGGTTGCTGTTGGATTAAAGCCAAGCTTCTCTCAGCTTGATGCCAACACACTTCTTAAGGCAGTTTCAAAACTGTGTTCTTAAGTGACTCTTAAATGGTCTGTGGCTAATGTGTGTAGACATGAAGTCATTCAAAGCACTAGTCTGTGCCTGAGAAAGATGGATGGACCATGGGTCCCAGATTCCTTTTCATTAAGGGGTTCTTATCTCCTTACACGTTTAGTAGCACAGTCAACATTAAACCCTACACACCAGGCCTGGTGCAGTGGCTCATACCTGTAATCCTAGCACTCTGGGAGGCCAAGGTGGGTGGACAGCCTGAGCTCACGAGTTTGAGACCAGCCTAAAGCAGAGTGAAACCCCATCTCTAAAAATAGCCGGGCGTTATGGCGGGGGCCAGTAGTCCCAGCTACGCAGGTGACTGAGGCAAGAGAATCACTTGAGCCCAAGAGTTGGAGGCTGCTGTGAGCTGTGACGCCACAGCACTCTACCCAGGGCAACAGTTTGAGACCGTCTCAAAAAATAAATAAATAAATAATAAAAAAATTAAAACATGGGCAGCGCCTGTGGCTCAAAGGAGTAGGGCGCTGGCCCCATATGCTGGAGGTGGTGGGTTCAAACCCAGCCCCAGCCAAAAGCTGCAAAAAATAAAAATAAAAATAAAAAATAAAACCATGGTGGCGCCTGTAGCTCAAGCAGCTAAGGCACAGCCAATACACCAGAGCTGGCGGGTTCGAATCCAGCCCGGGCCTGCCAAACAACAATGACAACTACCACCAAAAAATAGCTGGACTTTCTGGCAGGCGCCTGTAGTCCCAGCTACTTGGGAGGGGGAGGCAGGAGAATTGCTTAAGCCCAGGAGTTTGAGGTTGCTGTGAGCTATGATGCCACGGCACTCTACCTAGGGCAATAGCTTGAGGCTCTGTGTCAAAAAAATAAATAAAAACAAAAAAACGTGAATTTTTATAATATGTGAATTTTACCTTAACAGTAAAAAAGGAGAGGGTTTATTAATGGATTTGATGTGAGGCGTGAAGGAAAGAAAGAGTCCAGGATGGTAACGGCAGGATGGAGTTGCCACTAGCCAAGATGGGGAAGATGGTGGGTAGCCAGAGTGGGGGAAGAGTTCTGTTTTGGATGAGTTAAATTTGAAAGGTAGTTAGATAAACAAATCCGAGTTCAGGGAAAGGCCCAGCCTGGAGATATAAGTTTGCAGTCAGCACAGCATGTCGAGGGTCTTTGAGCTCTGAGGCTGGATGAGATCACCACGCTTGTGGGTGGAGACAGAGTGGAGGGGAAGTTCACGGACTGAGTCCGAGTCTGGGGCCTTCCAACACTGAGAGATCAGGGAGACAAGGAGGAACCAGAAACAGAGGAGCGGCAGCTCCCACCGTGGGAGAAGGGAAAAGGGGAGCATGTCCTATCCAGAAAGGCAGGAGGGCGCCACGTCTCGGAGGTGTCTAATAGATCAAATAGGATGAAAACAAACATGGGCGTTGGGCTTAGTTGCCCACCAGGTTGCCTCAGTTAGGGGTGGGAGCCAAAGGAGATTGGAGGCAGCGCGAGAGGAGAACGGGAGACGATGAGGATTAGTGTGAGGGTGAGACGTTCTGTAAAGGGGATTGAGAAGCGCATGGTTGCTAAGGGAGAAGCTGGGACAAGAGGGGAACTTCCGCTATGGTGGGACATTCAGCAGCAGGTTTGTGTCCTGACAGGGTCGATCATGGGAAGAGAGAGTAAATTAATGATGTGAGAAAGAAAACTGCTAGAGGGATGCCCTTGAGTTGGCAAGAAAGGACGTGACCTCGCACAGAAGCAGAGGGCAGAACCTGAACAGCTCCTGTAAAAGCAGCAATTCGGCACAGTGCTGGTGGTCACGTCACCATCCGCAAATGTGACAGGGGTTGAGGGAAACTCTCCTCTGGCTGCATCTGTTGTCTCCGAATAGGAAACGGGGGCAGCTGCTAGTGGGAGGAAGAGAAAGTGGGTATTGGAGGTTTTAGGTGATAAAAAGAAATAAAATTGTCCAGGAGAATGAGAGTGACTGAACGGCAGGAAGTCATGTAGTGAGATCACCAGGTGGCAGGAAGGCACAGACGAGGCCTGGGATCGGGCGTGGGAAGGGACACCGGTCAGCATGGTCACGATTCTTCCTCTCCAGCTACATTCAGCTGCACAGGTGCTAGGCAAAAACTGGGACTTAACCAATATGGTGTCTCCACCAAGCAAGTGTGACGAAACGAAAAAGGGGCAGGGGGCCTGAGAAGGTACCCAAGGGAACCGTGCTAGTGACTGGTCATAGAGGCGTGCTAGGTAAGAAGAGAGGAAACACCAGGACACTAAGAGTCAGGGAAAAGGAATTTAGGATAAACTGAAGGCCCTGGGGGTGGGAGCATTAAAGGACTGTGGGCGTCAAGGCATTAGAAAGAGTTGAGGCATGGTGGCCCCTGTGCTTCAGTGGGCAGGGTGCCAGCCACGTACACCAAGGCTGGTGGGTTCAAACCCAGCCCAGGCGGGCTAAACAACAATGACAACTGGAACAAAAAAATAGCCAGGCATTGTGGCGGGCACCTGTAGTCCCAGCTGCTTGGGGGGCTGAGGCAAGAGAATCATTTAAGCCCAAGAGTTAGAGGTTATTGTGAGCTGTGACACAACGGCACTCTACCAAGGGCAACAGCTTGAGATTCTATCTCAAAAAAAAAAAGAAGAAATCAGAAAGGGCTCGGCACCTGTGGCTCAAGTGGCTAAGGCGCCAGCCACATATACCTAAGGTAGCAGGTTGGAATCCAGCCTGGGCCCACCAAACAACAATGATGGCGGCAACCAACAAAAATAGCTGGGCATTTTGATGGGCACCTGTGGTCCCAGCTACTTGGGAGGTGGAGGCAGGAGACTCGCTTGAGCCCAGGAGTTGGAGGTTGCTGTGAGCTGTGATGCCACGGCACTCTACCCAGGGGGACAGCTTGAGGCTCTGTCTCAAAAAAAAAAAGAAAGAAAGAAAGAAAGAAAGAAAGAAAGAAAGAAAGAAAGAAAGAAAGAAAGAAAGAATTGAGGCAGTGGTCAGAGAGGGAGATGCATCAGGGGATCGAAATGAATGGTGATGACAAGGTCCAGAGCATGGGCACAAGTAAGAGGGGGAGATCCTCAAAAGCAGGGTCCTCAAACTTTTTAAACAGGGGGCCAGTTCACTGTCCCTCAGACCGTTGGAGGGCCGGACTGCAGGCTCCGGGATGAGTCGGCTGCTAAGCAGGACAGGCAGTGGTGGCAAAAACACCCGGAGGGCCAGATAAATGTCCTAGGCAGGCTGCATGTGGCCGGTGGGCTATAGTTTGAGGTCGCCTGACAAAAAGGAGGAGGCCAAGGAACAGAGAGGCCAGGATGGTGGGAGGAGCAACCGGTATAAGGTAATCACTCAGAATTGACTCAGAAGCAGAGAGGGAGGGGGTAACAGTGGAGCAGAAGCTGAAATCTTCAAGAAATGCAGGTGAGTGGCCAAGGGTCAGTAGTGACTGCAACAAGGAGTGCTTGTCCCCCCAGGTTCAGTGACTGTAGGAGAAAAGCCAGGGACCAAAGTTCTCAGGGGAAAGAGAGCTTTAGTGAGAGCACTAAAGGGAGGGAGGGAAAGGAACTCTCAGAGACTGAAGTCACGGGGAGCACATCTTCTGATGACACATGTGAATTCCAGTGTGATCAAGGGGAGTGTTGGAGGGCTGATGAGGGGTGGAAATGGGACAGGAAAGGGAGTGGGACACAGGGTGCCAGGCATGATCTTGGGGAGACCATTGTAAGCAGCGATAAAGACATAATGAGGGCTTGGTGCCTGT